TATAATATATAATATACATTTTTATACATATTTTTAATTTTTTGTATGTTTATTTTGTTATCTCATTTCGCATATAATATTTTATAAACTTTTCGACATTTAGACTTCCCAGAGCTCAATGCTGAAATCAGCTTGGCAGTCAAAGTGTTAAAATATTCTTTTACCATATAATACATTGAATTTCTTTAGGGACAATGTACCTATCAAACAATATATATAGATTGAGGTAGATTCCAATTGATTTGCGCTTTTGCAATGCGATTCTGTCAATACGTTTTGAACTTATATTTAAATAAAAAGATTTCAACCTTCCTGTCTCATATATTAAATAATAGTAATGTACTAAATAGTTGATTTAACAGAAACAGATGCAAATGCGTGCATTTTGCAGACACGACACGTGTATACAATTGTCATACTGATGAAACAGTCGGGGCTAATCGGGAGTAATCGGGACGTTCGATTCGATTCAGATTTGACGCTCACGCCTTTCGAAGCTTGAGTGCTAACAAGTGCCAATTTCCTGTCTCATAAATCTTTTCCAAAACAATTGTATATAATTCCGGAGACGATAGATGAATATGAATTAAAACGGTCATCTGATGAATTTAGTTCCGTGCAAAGGGCGTTCGCGAAAGAGCTGAAAAGAGCTGACGAAGCTCCATCCCATGTACAAACGTGTCGCATCATTAGCAATGACGTGGATATAGGTTAAGTTCTCATTCACGCTCAAACAAATCAAATCGCCAAGTGTATCAAGCAATTTCTGATAAAGACAATTGTAAATAATGTTCGAAATCACAGACACGCAAAGTGAGTACAAGGATTCCTCTTGTCAATATTGAAAGAGATTCTTTGTATTAAACCGGCGAATATCCGAGGTATTGATTGCATTTTGTACTATAAGGGATGTGTTCCAGAAATCGGAGTGGGACTGGCGGGATTTGGGATTTCCTTTCTGTTCCTCGGCGTACTATTACTCTTTGATAAAGGTTTACTCGCTATTGGAAATGTAAGATCACTGCACGTTCTTTATTATTTATTTACATTACATCTTATATCAGATTATTTATTTATGTTAAGTCTTACACCGGATTGACCTTTTGGATTATTCCTTGTAGCTTCTGTTTATATCGGGACTGGCATGTGTCATTGGACCATGGAGGACGTTAAACTTCTTCTTTCAAAGACACAAGATAAAAGCCAGTGCCTCATTTCTAGGAGGTGTTTTTGTAGTACTTATGGGTTGGCCCCTTGTAGGAATGATTTTAGAAACTTATGGCTTTGTATTACTCTTCAGGTAAATGTTGTATACTTAAAGCTGGTTTTACAATGTGCTTTTTGTTTCCAGTTTTTTGCTTTCTATTATTTTTTTACATCTTATCTTTTTGCTTCTTATTTGGTTTTTGTTTTATATCGCCTGAGATAAGAGTTAACGAAAGAAACAAGAAATACATAGCAAGAAATGCAATTGTCAATAAAACGGTTGCAAAGGAATTAAAAGCAAAAGGTAAAAAACAACAAACAGGAAACAAAAAGCATATTGTAAATTAAGCTTAAATCTTTAGATGCTTCTACAGCACAGTGGAACTCAGGTCTAATATAACACGCTAATGCCTGTTTTTCATCAATGTAGTTTAATTTTAATCTCAGTACAATTTATTTTTCTAGTTCTAAAAATTAGAAAAAGATGAAGAGTAAGTTGAACCGAGATTGAAGTTAATCTATATAAAAACATAAAGGAAATATTAGCCTGTCCTTTTTAGCTGAACTTTTTACATAGTTCAACTTTCCTTTTTTTTTTTCAATATGAAGGAAAGATTAATGATTATGCAAAATAAACTTCAGCTGAAAATAACAGAATTATTCAAGTGTGAGAAAATGTAGCGAGTGCACTGTTTGTTTAGCAGACCACAACAGTTTTACATCCGTTTTGTGATTACCAGCGATAAAAATATAATCATAAAAAGAACGACCATATATGAATAAATCGAATAAAGTAAAGAACGCCGAATGGTCAAAGTTAGATGTTACGAATATATTTAATCAATTTTTTGTTTCTAATGTGATTGCGCGCCGATAATTGTCGGACTTTCAACACAATCATTATGAAACGTTTTAATAACCCCCTCTAAATAAAACCTCTAAAAAATGGTAACTTATTATGAAAAATATTACCTCAGTCAGGGTAAAAATATAATCCAATAAGCGCGAAGAAAACTTCCAACAATTGCAAAATAAACATTGTATTGAATGCAGCCATCGTTTTTATATATGAAAAAAATGAAATTATAAAATCTCAAAACTGATTTCCACTAATAGTTAATAAATCCATGTTTTGTGACAGATAATTCACACATATTTTTGTTTCAGTGGTTTTCTACCAGTAGCAATAAACTTTCTACGAAGAGTACCTATATTGGGAACTCTACTAAATATGCCTGGTATCAGTCGAGTTTTGGACATAATAGCAGGTGATTCTAATCGGACAACTGTATGATACAACTATATAATATATTAAAACCATCCATATCTTTTTGCTTGGAACCTGTACATAAACCAGTCAAATGTTCATGTTTCATATTTTTTTTGTTACTTCCGTTTAAGAATGTCAGCTGTCAAGTTTTGTACAAAAATATAAAAACTTACTTATTTCTTATATAAGTCGTAAGAAACGTCATTAAGACTATATATAATGAATTTGTATCTTTCGAATTTATATACATATAATTTATATGTATTGATTATGTCAAGGGTACACTTGGTTATATAAAACATTCCAAAGGCTTTTTTGTACAACAACAAAAAATAATATTCATTTTCTTTATGTTAAAATATTCATCATTGTCAGTAAACAAATAATGGCCAACAAATGTACCCTTCTCCTGATCAAGTAATGAATGTTTCGGGATAATGTAATAAATGGACGTGTTTAATGTGTTATTTATCATTAATATATCTTATACTTATTGAAATCAAGATAAAGAATATATCGAATTTACATAAGACCCTTTTAAAAATTTTCCCACAAAAATATTTCAGTGTAACCTTAAATATTAATTTAAAAATGTATCAGATTAGTAAAGTAGAATGCTTAAGTCTTATTAACGGAATGATATTGAATGTGAAAAAATATGCAATATGTATAATTTTAAATTGTTAAATCTTTGTCAATTTTTATTAATTTTATAATTAAATTTTTGAAATAATTTAATGAAATTTATTATTAAATATACACTAAAATCAGCTTCGAAAAAATGTTTATTTAAATAAATTTTTTTTATTGTTTCAGGGAAGAAAAATAATTTCTGAATGTATGAAATTTTATATCGTTTTTATTGATTTGTTGCTTTCCCTGCATGCATCCTAACATGAACAGATTAGATGCATACATTCTGAGTAACGCTTTTCTTCTTACATAGTCGTTTGGAGTGCGAAATTAAATTATCGTCCGTCAAAAATTAACGGACTGGCTGATCATTAAAATGATAGTTTTATTAATTACGAATTAATTATGAATTATCTACAACGGGCCGAGAATAAGGGCGGGGGGCGGCCCAGGCTACGCGCCCCGCCATCGCCGTGATGACATTTCGTCGCGCGTCCTCCTCTCTCGATGGTTTCGTGTGCGCTGACTCGATACTCTAGGCAATTTATTACTTTCAAGTACTTTGATATTCCGACCGGTCTACTTACTCAGCGTAGCGTGTATGGAACGTTATCCAAGTAACAGGTGTTCACGATATTTTCGCGATTGTGCTTGTCTCTTCAACGTTTTTACAATGGAATACGAAAATACGTAAATGTCAATCGCTGCGGGAAAAATACTGAATCCGGCAATAAGTTAAGCAGATTCTCTTCTATTCCTTTGTTTATTTTTACCGAGTTTCATGCACTTTACGAGCTGCTACGTCGACCGTCCTCAGCCTGAATTACGTATTAATATCGACAGCATTTCTTCTGTCTGTCGGTCTGTGGGAATCGCTATCAAATCGGATGATGTGGATAATTAATGACGATGTCAATGATCGTGAGAGTAATGAGACGAGGATCGTATTAGCGCTTTAAAGAAGATTTTTAATTTCATCGTACAATACGAGTACGAGCGCACCACCTGTACCACGGAGAACATTAGAGAACGCGCCCTTAAAGAAGGCATTACCACCTTCCGTTTTGTAAATGGTGGACCAGCAATGGAGAGTGTTTTTGTACAAAATGTCAGTCTTGGCACGGCCGGACTGCATCATCATACGCCTACGTACTGTATCAAAGGGATAAGACACAATACCCGCGACAGTAGTTACGACCTGCAACAGATTCAGATGAATAAATAAAATGCAGTTTAATGAGATTACATCATCTTAGTAGAAATGTAATAAAATCATCTTACCTGGGCAATACCCCATGAAACGAGGAATGGAGTCTTTTTGGGGTCTGGCAGCATACCACGGGCAGTGTCATAGAAACCGAAGTAAGATGCACGATAAATGATGATACCTTGCACCGATACGCCGAACCCACGATAAAGACCGATCATACCGTCAGCTTTGAAAATCTTCGTCAAACAATTACCTAATCCTGTGAACTCACGCTCACCGCCAGCTTTACCTACATCAGCAGCCAACCTAATGGAACAAAGAAAGAATGTAGTATAATTTTTTAATTTTTGATATTATTTGGGTATTTATAGGATTACTTATTTGTACAAAATGTACAAATATAAAGACATTAAATACAAAATTAACATGATATTGATACTTTTATAAATATCAATATCACGTTATAAGTATCAATATAGTACACCTTTATAAATTAAATACGTTTACTTATTTATAGCTACATGTGTTACTTCTCATTGCGATAAAATTTAAATCGAAAGTTTATAAGAGTAAAAATAATTGTATTAAATTGAATTTAATTACAATTATTAATTGCTCGTTAATTGCACCATAATTTTTATTATTAGTGTAGGGATAAAAATTTTTATTTTTAGCGTATAGTTAAAACTTCTATTATTAACACGTGAATAAAATAAAACGCTCTAATTGTACAATAAGTAATTTACCTGGTTCTGGCAAAGTCAAGTGGGTAGACAAAGCATAGAGAAGTGGCTCCAGCAGCACCACCAGACGCGAGATTTCCAAGGAAATAACGGAAAAATTGAGTGTTTTTATCAACGCCACCAAGGAAAACCTGCTTGTATTTATCCTTGAAGGCAAAGTTCAAGGCTTGCGTTGGGAAATATCTGATAACATTGGCGAAATTACCACGCCAGTAACTGAGGAATCCTTGTTCACGTGGGATACGAACGAAACAATCGATCATACCTGGAAAGTAATATACAATGTAAATATGTGAATTGTACGGAGGTACGTATATAATACTTTGTCATTTTAATTTTGACTTATTTTATACAAGACTTATTTTATATATAATAACTTATTTTAATTAAATTGCATTATTTTCTATTTTAAATGTTCAAAATGCTACACAATTCACAAATTCAAGTATGTTTTATATGTTCTAAAATGTTAATAGGCTACCATCGTTTTTTACTGTCACATAATTCGTGAATTATTTTAGTTATCCTTAAGAAAAATTTAATTGAATATAAACTTTCGTGAGTCTAAGTTTTTTAATGTTAATTATATATACAAAATAAAATATGCCTAATTATTTATAATATATATATTTTAGGCATAACAAATAAATTGGAAAGAGATACGTAAAGTTTAATTACAAAATTATATAATTTTATATATTTTATATGTTACATACATATAATGAACATAAAAAAATCTCATACTTTTAAAGATTATTCCTAGTAAACTCTTCACTAATATAAATTTTAACTCTTCTGTCAGCAATAGGAGAAACGAAGCAAATTTTTTATTGCTCTGGATAAAAATCTGAAAAAATTCTGATATTTATTAAAGCGAACTTTAACGGATTTTTTTATCATCATAGATATCAGATTGTATTTTACTTTATTTTTTACAAATTTAAATTTATCTGCCAAAATTCATAATCAAAGTATTACTGCCATTCAAGACTCAAATTGCCGGCAAAAGATTAAATTAACAATAAAAGATTAAGAATAAAAGGTCTGTTTCCTTGTACTAGACCACACTAGAATTTTCTTGCTTTCACCAAATATCAAACATATATCTATTTCACTTTAAATTTGAAAAATGTACACTAAAACAAACTTATGCCTGATTTATGCTCCGGCCTTAACTTTAAAATCCTAAAATTCAGCCAATGGAATACAGATTTCAGTTAGGACCAATTAGGACTGGCAGCCCTATTGGCTGAATTTTAAAATTTTAAGATTAAAATTGAAATATAGACCAAGAATTAAAAAAGACGACGATAGATGTCTAGAACGTTCTCGAACAATCAAGTAGTATTTTGAATATTTAAAGTGGAAAATTGTCTCACTAATTGTACATTATCATCTAAGTGTATCGATTTCTCTTGTAACTTTATTCCTTAATTTTATCTTTGTAATTTGACATGGTAACAATTGAGATTTCGCAGAAACGATAAGCTGCAAGCCATCTCCCGTTATCACCACGTCGTCAGCAACGTGACTCGATTGGCACGAGATCGACCATTGCCGATCATAAAATGCATTCATTAAATTCCTGACCAGTAACATTTCTTCGAAGCGTCAAACGGGAATTCGGCCCAACAACGCGTCTACGCGTCGTCGACGTAGATGAATCAAAGAGGAGGCTGTGAATGGACGGCGGAGGAATTTGCGACGCGTGAAAGTAGAAGGCAGAGGAATTCGGTCTCGTGGTCGAACAAAAGGGCGGCCATGTTGGACCGCATCGTCATCGATCGAAGTCTCGGCGGAGAAGAGAAGCCGACGCGCTGCCATCTGGCTCGGGGAACGGCTGGCCGTTCCAAACGAAATATCGATCCTATCGTGAAGAAGCATCGGTGGATGAAGCGAACTTTTCGCTGCGTGCGAAATCAGACCGCCGCGCGGCCGGAGTTATATAAGTCCGGCCGAAACTGCGGATCGACCTTTGTTATATAAAAGTAATGCGAAATTTCGTCGCCTCGTCGCGTGTGCGCGCGCGCGCACACACGTTCCAAGTTTTCGCGTCACTCGCGTGGCCGCGTTCCACACGCGGTGCGCGGCACCAACGACACGCATTACATAACGGCCATGTCTTTTCTTTCTCTTATCTCTTCGCTCGCGGCATTCATTGGGGCGGCTCGCCGCCGCGTCCGCGCACCGCGAGGAACAATAGGCACGTTCGAAGCTACTTGGCTCCTGTCACATGTTCCGTGTGTGCACGCGCAGGTTTTCCACCGCATGAACGGTCAACCGATCGTTCTTTTCCTTGAATTACGGCCGCGTCTGTCCTTGCCGTGACACTGGAAAAGCGCGTGAAGCGGCCGGCACTTTCCCACACGGATTTCCCACGATATCCGGAAAGAGCGAGACAAGTAGATATAGAGGAAGGGAATATATATACTTCCGCACTTACCCTTGTAACGCTGATCCTCGGCAATTTGCTTGGAGATGTGCTGTACCTGCAGCAACAACTTTACGCGCTCAATGGGCGCGACAGTGGTCTTAGAGATAGCCGCAGCCACACCGCCGGCTATGAAATCCTTGGCGAAAGCCACGGGATCCGCGAGTCCAGACATCGTGATGGATTGATTGAGTGCGCGTGTGTATGGGTGTTGGGTGAGACACGGGTAACGTAAAGGAGAAAGAGAGAGAGGAGAGACTCCAAGTGTCTCTGACGCGCGCCGGACGACGAATGGCCGAGGCAGCGTATGCTCGTCGCCTCCTGCGGCTAAGAATAGCCGCGCAGGTCACGTGTGCTACTTCGCGCAGCTACGGACGAAGCGACGTCGTCGCGCCACGTCGTCGTCGCCGCGGCCGGCCCATTCGCCACGGAAATCATCGTGACACTTTCAGCCGAAATTGCGCTTCCGCGATTGCGGTATTCGCGACCTTTCACTCTCGACGATTGATCAACCTCAGTCGACCTAAGCTGCCGACACGCCGCCTCGGTCATCCTGAGCGATTGCGGTCTCGTTCAATTCTTTTCAATTTGAAAATAATCGCTTTTCGCGCCGCGGTGACGTCACGTCCTATTGCGAACGGCCTATCGCTCATCGCGATCTCGCGTTCGAAATTATGAATGCGAATGGCGGGAACGGTTTATCCGGAATTCTCCAAACGGACGCGGGAAAAAGAAAAATCGTTTCCGAACTTCCGATTGTTTCGTTCGATAGAGATTCGTACGAGTTTTATCTCTTCCTATCGAGGGAGAAGAGAACAAGGAATACTTTGTTGAATAATCGTGAAATGGAACGCGCAATGCGTTGTGTAATTTTGATCAATGAATATATAATTTCTATTAATGTGGAGTAACTTTGATTCAATGTAGATATAGTGAAGTGTCACAACACTTTAATCTTAAGTTTAACTTACTTTTTATATTTTTCTCTCTAGGTCTAAGAATTTGAAAAGAATAAATTAAATCGAGATTAAAGTTAATCTACATTGATAGAAATGGATATACGTATGACTCTTTCCACCGTGTAAAATTAATTTTGAAATCATTTGAAACATATGTAATAAAAACCTTAATAAAATTGATTAGATTATTTCATTACATTATTACGAAGGTCATTTACATTCTTTTGATTGAAATTTTATTTCGATACCATATTAGATAGACCATAGATCAATCTAATACTCGTTTGCTATTTATTAATTAACGAACTTTCGAAAATTCGAAAATTTATATTCTTTCGGCGTTGTCGATTTATAAGTCGCGGACGATCGCGGGCACGTGACCGCGCGAAGTTGCGCGAGATTCTCTCCGAGAATCCTCGGCTGTATTCACGGCGCTCGCGAGTTCGGCGCTCAACTTCAGGGCGGTCTCGCGCGGAATTTCGCGCTCCTTGTCAAGAGTAAAAATTGCAAGGTCAATTCTCCCCCGACGAAGGAGGTCAACGGGGCGCGTTGCTTGCGTAATCCTGGCTCACGGCCCATCGCATTACGGAGGATCTGCGCCAGCGAAGTTCAATGGAGTAACGTCAAAAGCGGGGTGTATTTATACACCTGCAAGAGAAAGAAAGATAAAGAGAGACTGAGAGGACGAGATGAGCACGCGTCACGCGCGCGTTCGCGCGCGTGGAATAGCCGTGCTAAAATCAGCTGTCTCTCGTCACCGCACTTATCCACATGTATTCGTCGATACCGATTACTAGAAGATTAGAATGCACGTATGCGCGCGCGCGCCATCGCAGCGATCGATCTGTCCACGTGTGTGAGTTGGGGAATCACGACAAGCACGTCAACTTTGACCTTTCGACTCGTGCTTGGATCTGATTCGAACGACGACACCTTGATACGATTTACTTGACATTGTCCTCGCGAGAGTATTTAGAAGATGCGCGAGAGACTAGGTCGATAAGAAAAAAGAAATGCCTGTAAGGGTTCGATTGTTCACGTGACTTGGTGGAAATTATACAAAAATGAGCAGACTCACTGGTATTGATCAATTATAAATATTCTAATAAAATTATAATATTGTTATTTTATAGCAAATTTGCTCATTCTTATAATTTTCACCATCCAAGCAGAATATAATTATTAGACATCAAAATGACGTCAAAATGGCTCCAAAGTTATCATTTTACTGATTAAAAATAATACTTTTCAATCGCTAGCAATTCCTCTTAACGTCATTTTGAGGTTATCATGTAACTTGGGCAAGTTGTTGTGATGATACACAATCGAACTCCCTGGAAGGCCCTTATTTTTAAAATCGAATTTTTAAACTCGAGATTGTTGAGGAAAATAAAAAAAAAGTTATTTGTAAAAGTCATAATATAATATGAATCGTTATGATTTTATTTATAAATTATAAGTTCATTTTTAGATATCTAATGACATCATGATGACGTTCTATATGACATCATTATGACTTAATTATAATTCTGTGTTCTATCTGGAACTCAAGGAACGCAAAAGTCAACAAAAAATCAAGATGACTTAATTTTGATTTTTAACGTCAATGGACAGTTAAATTTTTTGTAACCAAAAATCATTTTTTAAACTTTCTTTTCACTTGGTGTGTTCCTTGGGAAGTCGAGTGTTTCTCGATGGACGAGAGACAATTTGCAAACGAGGTTTAAAATAAGGAATGAGAAATAACATTTTTTTCCTGCTCAGGAAAGAAACGAGGTGTATTTATACACCTGCAAGAGAAAAAAATAACGTTTTTTTTTCCTAAGCAAGAAAAAAACGTTATTTTTTATTCAGACCGATTTTATTTTAAACCTTGTCTGTAAATGATCTGATGATTTTTTTATACTTTGTCTACTTATTGTCTCGCATTTGTTAGAACGTTATTTGTGTTCTTTTCGATTCGATTGTGAACTCTCGGTTTAGCGTCAAACAGCTAAATATTCGTATCTATATATTGGAGGATGAGCATTACGTTCTGGTGACGAAGAACAGAATAAAAGCATAATCATGGTTGCTATAAGCGAATACAATTATGTATTGTTCTCTACTATAAACTTTTATTCTCAAATACTTTGCAATCGACGACAGTATTCTAAATTTACAAAACTCGTACAGAAACAGAAATTGCACAGGAAACTATAAAATAACATAAAAATTAAGAAACGAAAAAATCATGCAAGTCTAGAATATAATTCTAATTTTACATACGTTTTAAATTACTATCCAGACAATTGCATGACTCTAGAAGACATTATAAAGACGTCTCTTTTGAACACGAATATCTAAAAGATATCTAAAAGACGCTTTGAAAGATATTTTTTAGACACATATGTTATATGGATATTTAATAGCCTTGAATTCACCTTTAAGAGATATTGCATAAGATAATATGATGACTAAAATGACGTATGTTTGTTTTGATATATCTTTTCCAATTGTTAACGGAGATAGATTAAGATATTTAATGAAAAATATTCCAGATATAAAGTACCTGACATCGGTCTGGGGATATCTTTGGAGCAAAGAAGGAAAGCCATTGGTGTAATTAAGAATATCCAAAAATATCTCGAAATATTTTCTGTTACGATAGTACGCGATAAAGCTCTCAAATTGGATAAAACTGATAAGGAAGTTGCGTGATAAGGATTTTGACAAATCATTCACAGTAGGTATATCACTGCCACGCATAGGAATATGTATGAAACGCTGGCGTTATCTTCAACTCAGGCTCGTCGGAGATTGAACCTGGGAACTCGAATATTGCATATTGGATTAAGTGTCGACCTTGACGTTAAATCGACATTTACGACTACATAACCGTTTTAAGCGATTTTCTAATGTAAACTTTTGAGGCACCTGAGAAAAGCACTCGTGACTCATCTTTTCTTATTGTCGAACGCTCAAGATCGCACGCGATCACAAAGCTCCGCGATACTTGAGCGACATACGTGACGCAATATGAAAGATGAGAAAAAATAAAAAAGAAATACGATCGTCGTCACTTCGTGAACTTCGATATGGAATCGAGGACGACCGTTGCCTCTTTTAAAACGATCATTCACGAATGCGTGTACGATATTTTTCGTGATTTATTGACGTTATGCGTTTCAAAACGACTTGGTATCTTTATTACGTAAACTACAAAGATCATGAATTAAATTAAAATTAATTACTCATTAGATGAATCTGTTAAATAATCTGTTAAATAATTAATTAATCTTTCTTAATGAACATTTCACAAAAATTATTATTAACAATTTTATATTTTGACGAGCTGATTTACTATCAAGTTCTAACAAATAAATTGACATTATTTGTCATCATTTTGTCATCAAAATGACGATAAATAATAAATATCAGCTTGTTTACTAGAGTATTAAAACATGGATTTCATGGTCAGAATGAATTTAAGAGAATAGATTTGTAGAGATCGATTCACTATTGTTGTCTAATGGACCAGCGATTGACTTTTTGGCTGTCCCTGATAATTGGAATGTATATATGCACGCGACGTCTAAATAGAAATACATAAATGCAACTATCCTTTATATAATGTTGGAGTACAAAGAGATTCTACGATAAAACTTTCGTGTGTTAAAGTTGACCACGTGGCGTACAGTGTGAATATATTTATTTACTTTATATGTAGAAAGTATAATAGCCCAAGCAGAACAAATTACGGTAACGTTAAAATGATATTTTGGAGTCATTTTGATATTATTTTAATATCGTTATAATAACTTGTTCTACTTAGGAGAGACCTCATGTCCCGAGACTTTGCGGGAAACAACGTTTTTCGGTATTATCCGTGTATTCATTATAAAAATAAATCCATGTAAAAATAAACGTGATGTGCCAGCGTTTGGTACCATTTTTAGCAGCATACTCTCTTTACTGGATTATTATTATTATTATACTTGAAACACAGCTTATTTGTTACAATATAATAAATTTTACGAATAATTGTAATTATTATATATATTTTATAGATATATACATGTTGGATTGGCGTAATGATGTAGCTCTAGCAGAACGACTTCTAGGTAACACATTGAGTCAATTTACATATTAATGCAAATGCATTCTAACGCCAAGAACTTTTTGCAGGGAAGCTCGTCCTTCGTTTTTTAATAATTCCGTACTAGCGTTAATTATCTGATGATCTGACGAGTGATTCAGTTACCCGCTCGACTATTCAAATCGTTGAGGCGCGAGAAGCTCTGTTGGTACATTCGACAGCGCTAAAACGTATGAGGCGGATTCAACGCTATCTAGTGGTAGCTAATAAT